TGATTTGTGTGAGTTTGAAGGAATTTTTACTCGAGGTGGTAACCGATATTTTATCACTTTTATTGGTGATTTTTTAAAATACACAAACGTATATTTATTAAAAAATAAAAGTGATGCTTTTGAGAAATTTAAAAATTTTATTCTTGAAGTGGAAAATCAATTCGGTAAAAAGATTAAAAGAATTAGAAGTGATGGAGGCCGGGAGTATGAATCTCTAGGATTCAACTCTCTTGTTCAGTCATCTAATGGCGTAACTGAAAGAAAAAATAGAACGTTAATTGACTTGACGAATGTTATGCTTATTAATTCAGGTGCTCCCACAAATCTTTAAGGCGAGGCTATTTTGACAGCTTGCCATGTGATAAATAGAGTGCCACACAAAAAGACTAAAATTGTACCTTATGAGTTGTGGCGGTGGCATAAACCAAATCTAGGTTATTTGAGGGTTTGGGATTGTTTAGCTTTTATGAGGCTTGTAGATCCTAAAGGACTTAAATTGGGTGAACGAGCTACCACCTGTGCTTTTCTTGGGTATGCGTTGCATGTAGCTTATAGATTTTGTGATATGAAAAATAATATTATTTTTGAATCAGGTGATACTATTTTTCATGAAAATAAATTTCCTTTCAAATCTAGAAATAGTGGGGGTCAAATAATTTATGAAAATATTTTATCCATGCCTGGCTCTTCTACTCTTTCTCAAGTTTTTCAAGAACAAAAAAATTCTCAAATCCAACCAAGGAGGAGTAAACGAGCTAGAGTTGAAAATTTTTTTGGCCCTGACTATTATCTTTACAATGTAGAAGAAATTCCCCTTACGGTGCAAGAAGCTTTATCATCACCTGATGCTATTTTCTGGAGAGAGGCTGTAAATGATGAAATAGATTCACTACTTTCAAATAAAACATGGAAGCTAGTGGATTTACTTCCAGGTTGCAAAACTATTAGGTGTAAATGGGTCCTTCGTAAAAAACTTAAACCGGATGGAACTATAGATAAATATAAAGCGAGGCTTGCTGCTAAAGGTTTTAAGCAACAAGTTGATCTTAATTTCTTTGATACTTTTTCTCCGGTTACTAGAGTTACACCCATTAGACTGTTGATTGCAGTGGTTGCAATTCATGATTTAAAAATTCATCAAATGGATGTAAAAACAGCATTTTTAAATGGAGATCTAGATGAGGAGGTTTACATGGACCAACCCGAAGGCTTTGTGGAGCCTGGCCAAGAAAGCAAGGTGTGTAAGCTAACTAAATCCATTTATGGTTTAAAACAAGCTCCAAAACAGTGGCATGAGAAATTTGATTTCTGTATGCTTGAGAATGGCTATAAGATTAATGAATGTGATAAGTGCATATATTATAAAACTTGTGAGAATGCACATGTGATTATTAGCCTATATGTGGATGATCTACTTATCTTTGGCTCTAATTTGCATATTATAAATGAGACTAAAAATATGTTTAAAAGCCAATTTGATATGAAAGATCTTAATGAAGCCAATTTTATTTTGGGAATTAAAATTACCAAGACTAAGGATGGCTTTTTTCTTGATTAGTCGCATTATGTTGAGAAAATTTTAAAGAAATATAATTTTCTAGACTGTAAACATGTTGCTACTCCTTTTGATGCAAAAATACATTTATCTATTGTAACAAATGAAAAAGAAGTGATAATCAAAAGGAATATGCTAGCATGATTGATAGTTTGAGATATGCTACTGACTGTACTAGACCTAACATTGCATATGTTGTTGGAGTACTTAGCAGGTTTACTGGCAAACCAAGTCAAGATCATTGCGAGCCATGGGAAGAATTATGAGAAATTTATCTGGTACCAAAAATTATGATTTTTTTATAACAAGTATCCTGCGGTACTTGAGGGATATAGTGATGCCGATTGGAACACTTTGTCAGGTGATTCTCTCTCTACCTTGGGTTTTATTTTTACCTTGGGTGGTGGTGCTCTATGTTGGAAGTCTAAAAAACAGACTATAATTGCTAATTCTACAATAGAAGCTGAGCTTATAGCGTTAGCTTCAGCATGTGAGGAAGCGAATTGGTTGCACTACAACAAAAGTCACTATTTACGGCATTATGTTTACGGCATACATTAAATGCATGTCGCAGTTAGTACATTTTACGACATTTTTTGTTTGCATACATATCATGTTTTGTCAATAACAGCATACATATCATGTAAATCGTTAATTCATATATTTATGGCATACAAAAGTATGCCGTAAAAAATATATGTTTTCACGACTTACAAAAATATATCGTAAAATATTTTCACTTAAGACGACATACATTTCATGTTGTAAAATATTATAATTTTACACAACATGCTAATGAATGTCGTGAAAACTTCTTAAAAAAAAAAATTCAATCCAATTTTTTTATGACATACAAAAGTATGCCGTAAAAAATTCTAGACATTGTTAAATATTTATAAATTTCTAGTAGATATGGCAAATTTTTATTTATTTTTCCAATTAACTAGATATTCTAGTTATAATCTAGATGTTTTTTAATACAAAAATAATTTATAAACTTATACTTAAATCTTTTTTTCTAAAATTTTCTACTCCAAATTTTTTTTATTTATTAATATTGTTAAAATTACACAATTTTTTTGCATCCCAGGTTTTTTTTTTTTAAGCAAATTTATATCAATCTATTAGCTCACACATTATTCTCTCTCTCTCTCTCTCTCTTCTCCTGCTCTCTCCTTTCTCTCCAGCGACAACCACCAACAACCACCACCAGCCACCAGCACCAGCAACCAGCACCACCAGCAACCACCACCAGCCACTGCCCCTCCGATGATGTTAGTTACACGAGCACCAATCGATTAATTCCGAGCTTGGCATTTGATTCTAATTCCGAGCCTTGGATTAATTCGGTGAGAGCCTAGGATTGCATCCTTATTCAATTAATTCAGTTTCTTCTCTCTCACCTCTCTTTGATTTTGATTTGATTTCTAGAGTTTTGATTTTGATTTCTAGGGCTTTGATTTTTTATTTTGATTTGATTTCTATTCAATTAACCTAAATTTTTCTCCCTTGCAGTTTCATTTCAACTTTATGATCTCAAGCAGCATGGATTCATAGAGAGACAGGAGCTTATGAACAAAAGGCGACCTCCACTTTTTGAAGCAACACTGTAAAAGCTCTGTTTATTTGTACATCTTCCCAAAATGGCCGGCTTAATTTCAACATCTCAGGCTCTACACATCTGTATCATTGGATTAAAAATTTTAAAAGTCAGTAAGACAAACTAATTTAAAATTTTCAAAAACAATTTTCTTTTCAGTCATCACATATAACTCGTTTCCAAAATCTAAGAGTTCAACACTTCACATAGAAGACCTCTTATTTAGTCCTTGTATTCATTCACAATGATTATTATTCCATAAGCAACTAATTGCGCTATTTGACCAAGTTATTATATAGAATTGAAACCACACTACTTCGAAGCAAAAATAGGCCTAAGTAAATCAATCAAATCATCTCTACTTGTTTATCTTTTTACAGTCAGTAAACTCTACTTATTTCTGCTCTTAGCTGAATATGGGGTTTGGCTTACAAGGAGCGAAAACCACTCCTCAAGCAAAGATCTTTTTTATCATGCTTCTCTGATTCCACCTTACCTTTCTCTGTATCCAAAGTCCGTTCATTTATGTGAAATGAAAAAGAAAGTAATCTGAATGTAGACACACTCATAGTAGGAAGAACTGATGGAATAAGAGAACACAAATACCCTGAATGTGGCATTCAACTTTGCTTAGTTATTACTTTTTAGTTTTTACTATATTTACTAGGTTAACAGAAGATATATCATTGTGTAATATTCCTATGTCCTCTTATCTTCTTCTTAGCCTGAATTTTAGAATAAGAACCCATATCATGTGGCATACCCCAATTTTTTCCCCCAATGAAATGGACCACTGAGTGCTATAGACACCCACTAATACTGTTCTGAGCTTGTACTTCGATATATAACTATTATTCCAGCATTATTTCAAAATGCATTACCTTGCACCTATCTTTGATTTTGATGCATTACAAAAATAGCTGTGTCAAGGTGCAATGCCTTCCATCTTTCTGTAGCTTTTTATTTCTTCATAGGTACTGTCTAAAGGTAATAATTTTTTTTTCTGTAGCTTTTTTTTTTCTTGTAGCAATAGATTTTTTTTTTATTTCTAATTCATATTCTGGCATTCAGATCTTGTTCAAGAATCTTTCCCTTGCAACCATATCTTCTATAATTCTGGTTGCAACTGAAATTTGGGCTTTTCTTTGAAATTTGATCAAACTACCCATCTATATATATGTCATATGGTTCAAAACGTACAGATCACCACCATCTTCTCTCTCTCTCTCTCTCTCTCCGACACCACCACTATTGTCCCGCCGTCGCCTCCCATTCGCCCCCCCATATTACAATATAATAAAATGTGTTAGAAAATTCAGCATCAAATAAGAGATTTTTCGTGATTGCATTTGTATATATCATTGTCAAGCTATACATTATGACTTTCTTTTCATTTGCGAGTTCCCTATGCAATTCTTTTTTCTCATTTTTTATATTTTGTTTAATTTTTGTTAATACGTGTTACAATATGATTGGTTTATAAATTAATTTTATATTCTTAAAATAAAATTTCAAATTTGTTTGTTTGTTTGTTTTCTTTTCCAACAAATTGACCTTATTTTTCACTTGGGTTTGGATGTGGACTCATTTACTTGGGTTTGGATCCAGAGATTACATGTAGCTTTGAGCACAATCAGATCCAGAGATTACTTAGGTCTAGATGGATAAATCCTGGGTGCATTTTTCAAGGTTTTTTTTCTCAAACACAATAACTTTTAAGCTTTTATATGGTCATTTTATTGGAATAATAAATTTTGATGTAAAATTATCAGAGTGTCGAAGGATTATCTAGATGGAGTACGCAAATTCGTAGATATATCTAAGGCGAATGTAGGGAATCCCGAAATGATCATTTACCCTTGTGGAAATTGTCGAAATCTATCTCACCAATTTTGCGAGATTGTGTACGAGCACTTGGTCATAGAAAGGATGGATCCTAAATATACTTCTTGGTTCCTTCACGGGGAACAACTAAGTGCATCGTCACATCAGGAAGATGTTAAAATTTCAGATACATATAAGATGTTCAGAGACGTGCATGTAAAAGATGATGATTTTGCAGAGTCTATAAGTAAAAGTAGAGAGAGAGAATTAACACGATCATTAGAAGATGTTGAAACTCCTTTATATCTAGGGTGTACAAAGTACACTAAGTTCTCAACAATTGTTGCTTTATACAAGCATAAAGCTGCACATGATCATTCAGATGAAAGCTTTGATGAACTTCTTCGAATAGTGTCTGATATGCTGCCAGAAGATAACACGCTTGTCAAATCTGTATATTCAAAAAAAAAGATGCTCAAAACCTTTGATCTAGGATATGAGAAAATCCATGCTTGTGTGAATGATTGCTGTTTGTTTAGAAAAGATTTAGAGCTTAAGGAGACATGCCCGAAATGCAACTGTTCACGTTGGAAAGTAGATAAACGCACTAAGAAGATTAAAAAAGGGGTTCTTGTGAAGGTGTTGCGATATTTTCCAATAATACCAACATTTAAAAGGATGTTCAAGTCACAGGAGAGGGCAAAACAATTAACGTGGCATTCCTCTCACAAAAGCCAAGATGGCAAGATGAGACATCCAGTTGACTCATTGGCATGGGAATCAATCGATCAAAAGTGGCATTCTTTTGCATCAAATCCACGAAATCTTAGACTTGGTCTTTCAGCAGATGGGTTTAATCCTTTTGCCAATCTTAGCTCAAAGTATAGTTGCTGGCCAGTGATGTTAGTTACATATAACCTTCTCTCATGGTTATGCATGGCAAAGGAAAATATCATGTTGACATTACTAATTCCAGGGCCAAAGCAACCAGGCAACAACATAGATGTTTATCTAGAGTGGCTTGTAGAAAACCTAATAGAATTATGGACTAATGGTGTCAGGGCTTATGATGCAGCCAACAACTCCATGTTTAATTTGAAGGCTATTTTGATGTGGACAATAAATGATTTTCCAACTTATAGAAACTTAGCTGGATGCACCATAAAGGGAAAAGTTGCTTGTCCAATATGTACCACTAACACATGTTCACAATGGTTGAGTAATAGTAAAAAGACTTTGTACATGGGCCATAGGCGATTTCTTGCACCCGACCATCCATTTCGGATGAAAAGAAGTTGGTTTGATGGAAAGCAAGAACTTCGAGGGAAGCCTAAACCATTAAATGGATCTGATGTTTTCGGTGTAGTTAAAGACATTGAAAATAATTGGGGAAAAGCAACAAATGAGAGAAAAAGTAAAAAGTCCCAGATCATCAAAGAAAAAGAGCCAGTTTGCGTTCAACCATGGAAGAAGAAGTCCATATTTTTCAATTTACCATATTGGAATGTAAGTCTAAAGAAAGTAGAATTCTTATTTTCAAAATTAGTTGAATTTGTTATTCTTATTTTTTATAGAATGAATATTTAATTGATGTTACAGGCATTACTTTTGCGTCATAACTTGGATGTAATGCACATTGAGAAAAACGTTTGCGAAAGTATCATTAGCATACTATTGAATTTGAAGGGGAAATCAAAGGATGGCCTTAAAGCTCGTAAAGATTTGGAATAAATGGGCATTAGACACAAATTGCATACGGAGGACAGAGGGACTCATTTTTATTTGCCACCGGCATTACATACACTTTCAAAAGTCGAGAATCAGATCTTTTGTTCTAGGTTACGTGATTTAAAATTGCCTGATGGTTATAGCTCTAATATTGCTAATTGTGTTTCATTAGAAGAGTGCAAGTTGATAGGCCTCAAGTCACATGATTGCCACGTCTTGATGCAACAATTGTTGTCAGTAGCGTTGAGAGGATTTTTACCAGAGGGACCAAGGAATGCAATATTCCGATTGTGTACTTTTTTCAATCAAATATGTCAAAGAGTGATTGATAGGAATAAATTACAACTACTCGAAGAAGATGTTGCTGAGACTTTATGTATGTTGGAAAGGTTCTTCCCTCCATCATTTTTTGACATTATGGTTCACTTGACAATCTATCTAGGTCGAGAAGCTCGCATATGTGGACCGGTGCAATTTCGTTGGATATACTCATTTGAAAGGTGAGTTGTATATCACTTTTTATTATGTATATCTATTGATGTATTTGTCAAACAAGGTATTAACTTGAATATTAATTATATTATGGTCTAGATATATGAAGATACTTAAGGGATATGTTAGGAATCGTGCAAGACCTGAAGGATGCATAGCGGAATGCTATATAGCTGAAGAGTGCATGCAGTTTTGTAGTGTGTACATGAAGCAAACAGCTGAAATAGGTGCTCGACATAACCGCAATCAAGAATTTGAAAATGCAACAATACTAAAAGGACGTCCGATTACTTTGGGAAATTCAATCATGATACTTGATGATATGTTACAAATTGCTCATTGTTGTGTGTTGATAAACAGTTCTGAAGTCCAACCATATTTAGAGTAAGTATGATAACATAAATATCTATTACTAATTTAGTGTTTATATGATATATTTATCTCACAATTTGCCTACCTTATTAGAATGCACGCGGAGGAGCTTAAGTTTTTGGACAGACGTTTCTTGAGGGATGCCGCGCTACTACATTCTAGACAAATGGACACTTTTTCTCAGTGATTGAAAGCAAAGATTGAATCATGTGGTAATGAGGTTTCAGATAAATTGAAATGGTTTGCAGTTGGCCCAAGAAAGCATGCAACTTCTTATTTGGGCTATGTCATTAATAGGCATCGCTTTCATGCAATTGATGTCCAAAGGTCCACACAAAATAGTGGTGTTTCCATTGAAGCAGAAACTATTTGTCGATCTAGTAAGAAAGACATTGCACAAGTTATTGAAAAAATATGTTTCTATGGGGTTATCAGAGACATAATTTTGTTGGATTACTACAAATTTCAAGTTCCTCTATTTAAATGTGATTGGGCAACTACTGGAAACGGTGTCAAAGTTGAAGATGGATTTACATTGGTCAACATCCAACAAGGACGAAATCCATTTGAGAGAGATCCATTCATTCTAGCATCACATGCAAAACAAGTGTTCTATTTGAAGGATAGTGATACATCTAGTTGGGAAGTTGTACTTAAAGCACCTTCAAGAGGCTTTCGTGATTTGGATATGTATGATGAAGATGCCTATATGTCATCTGTACCTTTAGATGCATCTAGACTTGGTGCAAATACTAATGATGAAGATGAGTACTACGTGAGGATGGATTGTGAGGGTGTGGAAGTGTTGCATGATTAATGAGATCCTTCAAGAGGCTTAACTAGTTCCCCTTTACTTGTCATTCTCTTTATTTTTTCCTTTCTACATACATTGCTGAAGTCTAAATTTTTCTTTGTATCATTTGGTAGACAGTCCACTGAACTTTAATTGTTTGTTGGTACTACTACCCAGTTGTATAGCTACTCTTAGTGACCTGTGGATGGATTGTCTTATGCTTATCATTAGTGACATGTGGATGTATAAAGTTTTTCATTGATTTGATATTTTTGTTAAAAAGTTACCCTGTTGTGTTCTAATTTCTTGTTTGGTTGCGATGACCCACATTAGACCTTTGCCCTACATGAACAACGCTGATGCATGGGGTAATTGCTTATAATGGTAATTTTTTGTTTTTTATTTTTATTTTTTTATTACCGAGTTTATTAGAGAAGTGCTAATTGTATTTTATATTAGAGAAAAATTGTATACATTTGCATATTTTAGTTACTATTTACCGGACTGGTGTCTTAGTAACTGCCCTGCAACTTACGCTAGTGGTCCATCACCTGTGTGATTTTTTATTTATTTTTTGTTTTTCAATTGCTCTTTATTTAACGATGAAGGTTTATTATTATGCTTGCCAAAAAATCTGATTTCCCTTTGTTTTGTTGATCTGATTGTTATTGTGAATGCTTATTTTCTTATTAACAATTGAATCTTGAAATTGTCAACTAGCAAGATGAGTGAAGAGGTACCTTATTTCTCATTTAACATAAAATTGAATTTATAACCAATTGCTGTCCACATTATTTCTTATTTTTCCTTGTGTATTGCACAGAGTTCAAAAAAAGCTGAGAAAAGAATTAGGAAGGAGCGTGAAGCTATAATTGATGCGACAATGAATGAAAGAAGAAATGCATCATTTAGAATTTCAGATGAGTGTTCTACTTTTCCACATGTTGAATCACATGATATGGAAGGAGTTGTAGACTCCACTCAAGTACCAAAAAAGAAAACTAGGGGGGCATCAAAGTTAAAGATGCATGACAAAGGAAAACAAAAGTGTGATGAAATGGACTTCAATAAAAGGAATCAGCCTGTGGGACCTGAGTTAGTTAAACTATCGACTTTAGAAGGGATCTTGGCACGAGAGATGGTGCCAATAACCACAGAGAGATGGCCTGATATTCTAGAAGAGGTTAAAGACAAGCTATGGGCTTGTGTGAAGGTAACATATATTTATTTAATTCATTATTATACTATCAACTCAAGTGTTTTTCGTAATCACTAAATTTTTGTTTAAATGCAAATGCAGCTTAGATTCAAAATGCATGATTGCCATAGGAAATTCATCATGCAAAAGTTTAGCAGATTATGGCGCTCACACAATTCTGAACTATCACCAAAAATAAGACCTCTTGGTAAAAGTGCTAAGCTAGCACACAATATTGTCCTCACCAAACCTGATAATGTAGAAATGGTTGAATGGAAAGCATTTGTGAAACAACGAACTTCCAAAGAATTTAAGATAAGTTTCCTCATAGAAACTCTCTAGCTTTTATGAACTAATTAAACCAACAAATTTTTTCATAGTGATTCAATTGTGAATTATTAATCATATAAATTATGACATTCTTCTTTTGTATATGTAGGCAAAGAGTAAAAGATTTAGGGCAATGAGGAAAAACCAAACCCTCTTACACACCATGAGTCGTAAAGGTTATACACGATCAGAGGATGAAATGGTAAATTTAAGAGTGATTCAAGTAGTTTTGTAAATTGGGTATTAAGTATGGTTACTATGAGATTGTTTTTAAGCATGTTGATTTTCATTTTCTATTTTATTTTCTAGAGAAGAGAAAGTCGAGCACCATCATCCATATCAAGAGTTGATGTTTGGATTAAAGGGCATACAAGGAAGGAAGGAAAATGCATGAATGAAGTGCTTGATGCAACTGTGGTACCAATATTACATCATTTCTTTTTTTTTTAATAATTTGCATTCACATCAATTTATTAAGACATGCTTTATATTTTTAGAAAAAGGTTCAAGAACTTCATAAGGCTTCTACTGATGAGGGTCCAAAATCTATAAAAGATTATGCAATTTTTCATACTTTTGGTCCCGAGTGTCGTGGGAGTGTACGAGGGCTGGGATTTGGGGCATTGCCATCTAAGGTTGATGCATAAGTACACCAAAATGAGCACGTGAGAAAACTTGAAGGCAAGGTACTGGACTTAGAACAACAACTTCATGAGATAAGAGCCATGCTTATCAAAGAAATAAGGCAAAATGATGTAAGAGGAAAAGCTAAACATGATAACATAATGTTTGATGATTTATTTCAAGTAAATTTTGATTCAAATCATTTGTTATTTTATATTTAAATCACTTGCATGTTTATCTTTGACTGTAGGGTACCAATCCCTTCCAAAGAAGCTCCGATCTACTCCTCATGACAACCTTCCAAGTTCAGTGAGTGAAATATAGTATTTTCAGAACATTTTTATCTACTCTTCATGTCTTTAATTGTTGGAATTATGTGGTAGCTATATGCTTAATGAAGTGTTTTTATGGTTTTTTATTGAAGCTATGAAATTATCTAAACGTGTTGGTTCTTCAATTGCAGACCTTCCAACTGGTTTAGATATGGTAAGTTATGCTCTTTTTTGAAGTCTCAATTGTTATGATTGAAGTCATAGTTTGAGAACAAAACTTTAGTGCAATCATATTTTCAAAACATGGGTTTGGAAAACAAATTCCAAATTGCTTGAGTTTGAGTTTGAAAGATCTGTTATTAAAATAGCATGGTTTGGTAGAACAATCCTTTAACCAATTTTAGTACTCTATTCATTGACAATTAAATAAATATAACTGGTAGTAGTAATAGTAAATGACAATAAATATGAGGAAAAGAATCACAAATCTTCAAAATGCAGAGTTATATACAATTGCAGCCCCTATCTAGAGCCAAATGCAGTTTCAACTGTTCTTCTGATCTTATAATTATTATTATTACTTTTTGAGCATTGAGAATTGTGCTTTAGCTAGGAGGAAGAAATTTTTAGGCAAAGCAATAGAAAGGCAAAAGCTGAAATAAATTGTAAGAATGCTTTGTCTTGAATTTGGATTATGAGTTTTAGCTGTTACTTTCAGGAGAGTCCCTATATTGGGTAAGGAAACCAAGGAAAAATTGTGATGCTCTTTGGATAATAGCTCAATGGTCTCAGAAGGAACACAATTGTGTTTCTTGCATTTAGGGTTGTATTCTCTAATTTCAACGCAATCTTAACTGTAAGAAATGATGACTATTTTGAAATACGTGAATTTTGATTCATAATCTTATGTATCGAGATAGAAGACACAGAATTGTGTTCCACATACAATAGTCTTGGTAGGCAGTAATATATTTCTTGTCTTGCATCGGCATGCATAGCTTTCTAGCACGGTTTTAATTATAGCTTTTTTACACTTTCAGATCTGTGTTTTTTTTTTTTTTTTTAATACAACTCTCATAATGAGGACTCCAAAATCATCTTCTTGTGTTCTTTAGTGAAGAACTGAGGGGCTTATTAGAGATCCACTTGAATTAGAATGTCCATTTAGTTTTTATAAATTCATCAGGTTGAGTACTCATAAGTGTGACCACCTCAAAATATGTATTCATCAAGTTGAAATTTTCTTTTCTGACATTGATGACATATACAAGTGAGTTCTCCTTGAGGCATTTTGACACTTTTATTTCCTTTGTTGAACTAATACTTGGTAAATGGAATGAATGTTATGTAGTATGCTTATATACTCTTAATTTTTGTAGGATCAAAGCAATGGTGTGTCAAGCTTAGAGAATGTCAAATGCAAGTTGTTGCATTGGGAGGGGATGAACTTGGTTGCTGAAGGCCAAATTGCATCAAGAGATCCCAAGTCAAAAGTACATCATGTGACTCTGGGACCTTTATGTTAGAAAGAATGGGTGAACCACATAATAGTCAACGTGTCATTGTTTCGTTCTACTCATGAAATGTATGATCTTCAAGATGCAATAGGAAGTATAGTTGCATGGCCTAGCAATTCATTCTTTTGGACTAAATATTAGACTAATTGATTTACAATTTGTAGTTATACTTTTTGGATGTTTAAAGTCGTATTTTAGAGATTAGTGAATCTTATGATTTGAATATTTTTTTTTGATTTGTATGTTTGAAGTTGTTATCAACTTGATATGATAGAAGTTGAGGATGAAAGTTAGTATACAGGTTGTTTGGTGTATGGATGTTAGATTTTTTTTGCTTACTTTATAATTTTTGTTTCTGCTTGATTTGTTAACAGGTTGCATTTTATAAGCTACTGTTTACATACTGTAGGCAAGGTTATATTCCAATATATATATATTATATATAAAAAATAACTTTCTACAACATGCAAAATTATGCTGTGAAAAGTGTAATGATTTATGGCATGTAAGAAAATGTCGTAAAAGATTATATACGGCATACAAAGTATGTCATAAATATATTAAAAATGACCTTCTACAGCATACAAAATTATATCGTGAAAAGTGATGATTTATGACATGCAAGAAAATACCGTAAAATATCATATATGGCATACAGAGTATGCCATAAATATATTAAAAATAACTTTCTACGGCATGCAAAACTATGTCATGGAAAGTATGATGATTTATGGCATGACAAAAATGTCGTAAAAAGTTATATACAACATACTTTGTATGTCATTAATGTTTAATTTGTTACTTTTTACAACTTTACCTGCATGCCGTAAATGATGCTCAACTTTCTACGGCATGTCATATAACGGCATTTGTGTGCATACCGTGAAAGATTTTTTACGACATGCATTGCAAGCTGTAAAAATTCAATTTTGTTAAAGTGTTGAGAGATTTGTTACGTGAAATTCCTTTTTGGAAAAAACTAATTCCTCCTGTGTTAATTCGTTATAATGGCGCTGCTGCTATTGGTAGAGTGAACAACCTTTTTTATAATGGTAAACCCAGACTTACTCGAAGGAAACACAGTAATGTGAGATCCTATTTGAGTAATGGAATCATAACTGTGAATTATATAAAATCTTGTGATAATCTTGTGGATCCGTTAACCAAGGCCTTAGAAGGGGGATGGTTTAAAGCCTATAAAATCATAAATCATGTATGAGGATACCCAACTTAGGGACCATCGATCCTGTAACTATAGGTTCAATGAGAAGAAATAATCATATGGTGGGTGTAAAAATGCACTCTTTAATATTTTGTTATCCATCCCTATGGTGTAAGTGCATTTGTCTTGTAATGTTGGAGGGTTGAATTTTTATACTCTTAATGAAATTCTGTAGCTCTTGTTGAGTGGGGTGTGTCAATTACAGGAACATCCTTGACAGATTTTACCTATGTGAGCATGAAAGTGGGGCCACTCTCTATGAGAACAAGGCTTATTCTCAAATATGCTCATGAAAACTGAGATTAGCACAAGGCCGTAATGTGCTGGCTAGTAAAACTCATGTCAACACCTGGACTATTATGTGTGAGCAGTAATACTTTATTTCCCCTAAGCAGTCATAGTTCAAGTCTGAGACCACTACTGACTCTGGAGTAGAGGTTGTTGTTTCACTAATGAAGGTTCAATGCGGAGCATACCTTCATGATGCATACTAGTCTATCTTTGTTTGGTAATCTCTCTTGTCCTTGTTCGTATTAAAATGAGTGGGGGATTGTTGGTCCATTTAATATCTTTTATTTATTTATTGATATATCATGTTCATGAATGGAGTTTCATTACTTCGGTAACCTCTTATCTTGTTCATGAATGAAGTTTCATTACTTTGGTAACCTCTTATCTTGTTCATGAAGAGTAATTAGAATTCATGAACTTGGTGGTGAGTTAGTTTTTGGAATTACTCTATTTTCTCTAATTTAATGATCATCTTTATTTTTTGTATAACTTGTCGGTCCTAGTGGCCTATAAATAGTCCCTCTCATATAATCTTTTCTACACCAACACACACAAATTATTTTCTATATGAGAGAGATTACTAGCAAAGAAGGGTGTTTTTCTTGATGAAGGTTTGGGTTCACTATCTTGTGCAGAGTTGGCCTGAACCATATGACAAGTGGTCGGGCTGTTGTATCATGAAGGGGACAAGTCATAATTTTGTAACTGCTGCATCGGTATTTAAGTTCTTCCTACCGTAGTGGGCTTGATCTCCTTAAAGAAAACGAGATATCCGTGCCTCAGTCTGATCTATTTGTATCTCATTTTTTTTGCATCATTTATCAATAAAATATAATTTTTTCTAATATTTTCACCAATAATATTGAATATTCTTTATATCATAAAATCATAATACCAAGATTTTAAAAAAAAATCTCGGTCATAAAATTTATCATGTAATTATTTTTTTAAAATTAGACTGAATAATAATTTCTCTTTAAAATTTTGCTTCAAGACAAACGGAACAGTAGATGCCAAACTTCACTGCACGCACAATCATGGGAATGCTAACGTCAGAAAGCCGTGATATATCCAATCAAAATTCAAAAGTTACCTCACAATTTATCCATGTGTCAACACCTAATTTATCAAAAAAATTACTCCCTCCGTCCCAAAATAATGGTCCCTTTTGGGGAATCTAACTTTTTTTGATAGTACAATTATTGCATTTGAAAAAAGTTAATTTTCCAAAATTATCCCACAGGTGAGCACCCCACGACTCCCTTTGATCTGTGATTGGCTAATTTTTTTTTTTTTTCTTTCTCTTCTAATTACCAATCTTCACGTGTGTGGAGGTGATAGGGATGGTGGGAAAAGAGGATCTCCATCACTTCCGAAAACGAAAACAAAAAAAAAAAAAATGCAATGAAAAGCCATCCGTACCGATTGAGGCCAAACACACCCTTCTTTCCTTTCCAAGTCCCCTCTATTATTGCTATGTCTATAGCAATAACACAACTTTTACTTTCTCTCACAAGTCACAACCCAAGAAAACGGAGAACAACAAGCTCAACATCAAGCATAATAAGATAAAAGAAGCCAAGAGCTACAGGGAAAAAAAACAAATTGAGGGCATTGTTTGTTTCGAGGGAAAATCATGGAACGTGGCCGGAAAATGAAGAAAGAGAATGAAAATTTGAATTTTGAGGAGACCGAGTTGCGGCTAGGTTTACCGGGTGGTGGAAGAGGAGGTGAAGGAGATCATGTGGTGGTGATGAGTACTAATAATAATGGGAAGAGAGGGTTTGAGGAAGATATGGATTTGAAGCTCAACCTCTCATCCAAGGTGACTGCAAAGCCTCCTGCTGCCAAGTATGTGATCTATCTTTCTTCCTTATCATAATTTTTTTTTCTTTTTCTTTTTTTAATTTATTGCATGTTCATGTGATGATTAGGGTTAGCTTTGTTGAGAAGGGCATTTTTGGTATTTCATAGTTTTATTATGTTGCTTCACTACTATGTATTAATAGTAGAAGTGTTGTACCTTTTGGTATTATATTGTAATTATTTTCAAATCCTAGTGAAATGACGACTATAAATATATATAAATTTTTATTCTATATTGTATACTAGTTGATTTAAATTTTTTTTTCATTTCTGTTTGTGTTACTTGTCTCATTTATCAAAATTAGGCCAATCAATTTTTAATAAGCTTAAATATACTTTTACTATTATAAAGTGAACACCTCTTATGGTGTCCTAAAGTTTTACTCTCCTCATGCCATGTGACAGTATTTTTTATTTTTTAAAAAAAAGTTAAATAAACAAAGAAATGGGCAAGGCTTGAACCCATGACCATGGGTTTAAGTACGAGGACTCATACCACTTAAGCTAAGTACACATTATAATATTAATTTCATTATTATTTTTTATTATTCCTACTTATTTAAATTGCACACACATCGTGTGTGCCACCCACTAGTGTATATATATATATATAGAGAGAGAAAAAAAAAAGGGGGGAGCTCACATTTCTTATAATTTTGATTGAGAATCATTATAAACAGCTCTTATTTTGAGGCTACCTCAGAGTTTAAATCCAATAATTAATTACTTATTATAGGTGGAACAAGAAATTACAAGGATTACTCGGACACTCACATGAGAAAAAGAAAAAAAAAAAAAAAAGAAAGGCAAACTTAGTTGGCGAAAAGATGGAGGCCAAGAAAGAGCGAAGAATGGAAAAAAAAAATTTTAACAACTAATTACTGATTTTTGCTGATAAAAAAGAAAAAAAAAAAAAAGATAAATGATGAATCTCACAAGAAGTATATCCCAACCCCTATCAATTCTGTACAAAAATAAATAAATAAACCCCATGTTCAATTATCTTCAATATTCATAAAATGATATAGGATTTTTTTTTTTCAAATTCTGTTTTTCCGAGAAATAAATAAGATTTTGTTGACAAATGTTCTATGTTAACACAAGCTTAATTAACAAGTGCTCTTGCTGATTAAAGCCATGAAATAATCCAAATAATAATAATATTTGAATATTGGGAATATTATTTTTCAGGGCACAGGTTGTGGGTTGGCCACCGGTCCGATCATTCCGAAAGAATATCCTGGCCGTCCAAAAGAGCAGCAGCGTGGAGGTACATGATGAGGTTAGTGCAGGTGCAGGTACAGCAACAGCAGCGTTTGTGAAGGTTAGCATGGATGGTGCACCTTACCTACGTAAGGTGGACTTGAGGATGTACAACACTTATCAACACCTCTCTCATGCTTTGGCAAACATGTTTAGTTCCTTCACCATTGGTAAGTATATATATATATATATATCAAAGAATCCCCATTTACATTATGGACCTGGCTCCTCTCTAGTTGCAGAAGAGGAGAGTTCAGCATTGGTGAGCCTTGGTTTTGGCTCATGTCGATAATTCAAACTGTTAATGTGTAGAATTTATTGAGTACATTATCTCTGCAAAAAATTACATTGATTGAATATTAATAACCATTTCATCCCAATTTACTTTGAAAATTATTTTGAAAATGCGATCTCATTAAATAGTTATCGATAGCCAATCAACATATTTTTTACAGGAATAATGTGCTCGACGAATTCTACACATTGAACGGTTTGAATTATCAGCATGGGTCCGAATTAAGGCCCACCAATACTAAACTCTCCTCTGCACTGGAGAAGAGTCAGGTCCATACATTATAGACTTAACATAAATATAATTATAAAATAATTTTTTTAAAAAATAACGCATTTCGGACACTCACATGAGAAAAAGAAAAAAAAAAAAAAAAGAAAGGCAAACTTAGTTGGCGAAAAGATGGAGGCCAAGAAAGAGCGAAGAATGGAAAAAAAAAATTTTAACAACTAATTACTGATTTTTGCTGATAAAAAAGAAAAAAAAAAAAAGAAGATAAATGATGAATCTCACAAGAAGTATATCCCAACCCCTATCAATTCTGTACAAAAATAAATAAATAAACCCCATGTTCAATTATCTTCAATATTCATAAAATGATATAGGATTTTTTTTTTTCAAATTCTGTTTTTCCGAGAAATAAATAAGATTTTGTTGACAAATGTTCTATGTTAACACAAGCTTAATTAACAAGTGCTCTTGCTGATTAAAGCCATGAAATAATCCAAATAATAATAATATTTGAATATTGGGAATATTATTTTTCAGGGCACAGGTTGTGGGTTGGCCACCGGTCCGATCATTCCGAAAGAATATCCTGGCCGTCCAAAAGAGCAGCAGCGTGGAGGTACATGATGAGGTTAGTGCAGGTGCAGGTACAGCAACAGCAGCGTTTGTGAAGGTTAGCATGGATGGTGCACCTTACCTACGTAAGGTGGACTTGAGGATGTACAACACTTATCAACACCTCTCTCATGCTTTGGCAAACATGTTTAGTTCCTTCACCATTGGTAAGTATATATATATATATATATCAAAGAATCCCCATTTACATTATGGACCTGGCTCCTCTCTAGTTGCAGAAGAGGAGAGTTCAGCATTGGTGAGCCTTGGTTTTGGCTCATGTCGATAATTCAAACTGTTAATGTGTAGAATTTATTGAGTACATTATCTCTGCAAAAAATTACATTGATTGAATATTAATAACCATTTCATCCCAATTTACTTTGAAAATTATTTTGAAAATGCGATCTCATTAAATAGTTATCGATAGCCAATCAACATATTTTTTACAAGAATAATGTGCTCGACGAATTCTACACATTGAACGGTTTGAATTATCAGCATGGATCCGAATTAAGGCCCACCAATACTAAACTCTCCTCTGCACTGGAGAAGAGTCAGGTCCATACATTATAGACTTAACATAAATATAATTATAAAATAATTTTTTTAAAAAATAACGCATTTGGTGTCATTTTGATTTCTAATATTTCAATGGAGAAATTGTGTTCCAATGAATCAGTGGAAAAATAATTTCATTTTTATGGCGATGCAAGTCTCCTCTGTGGATTGTGCAAATCATTTTCTGTGTGGTTGAAATATTTTCCATGTGTCACAATTGCATCAAAAAATCTTCTATTTATAATGTAATTCTTTTATGACTGTCTCATTGATTTATAATTTTCATGGTTTCAATTGTATTAATTTAGCCTTCAACTGATTCAATTTGTGTTTAAATGGTCTTTCATCCAAATTTTATAATGGAAACCTTTGTTAAGTTAAAAAATTATTTAAAATGTCAAAAAGTCATCAAATTATATAAAAAAAAGTTAAAATTTTTCTTTTTTTCTCTATTTTTTGTATATCTTTTTATAAAAAAATAAAAATTATTTAAAATATATTAATTTTTTATCTCATATTTTAATCAAAAATTAAAAAATTATTAATATAATTTGTTATCAGCCTTTCAGTGTAGATAGTTTATTTAACGTTTAAAAAACTAGCCCAAATTCATGGAGCCCACTCACGTCTCCATTATACAATCTTATTGTTGCGCCAATGCCGACTAGCAATAATGGTTGAAACCATTAAAAGTGGTGTTGGAAAAGCACCATTAGTAATGTGGTAGTAGATGGACTCACTGTTTGTGTCTTGTTTATTTATTTTTTATTTAAAGTACTTGTCAATTCATTAGTGATACTTTAAAGCATCACTTTAAAAATTATTTAAAATGTCAAAAAGTCATCAAATTATATAAAAAAAAAATTAAAATTTTTCTTTTTTTCTCTATTTTTTGTATATATTTTTATAAAAAAATATAAATTATTTAAAATATATTAATTTTTTATCTCATATTTTAATCAAAAATTAAAAAATTATTAATATAATTTGTTATCAGCCTTTCAGTGTTAAATAGTTTATTTAACGTTTAAAAAACTAGCCCAAATTCATGGAGCCCACTCACATCTCCATTATACAATCTTATTATTGCGCCAATGCTGACTAGCAATAATGCTTGAAGCCATTAAAAGTGGTGCTGTAAAAGCATCATTAATAATGTGGTAGTGGATGGGACTTACTGGTTGTGTCTTGTTTATTTTATTTTTTATTTAAAATGCTTGCCAACTCATTAGTGATGCTTTAGAGCACCACTTTTAGCGGTAATGATGCATCTCACTAAAAATAATGCTCTAAGCACTACTAATGAGTTGGCAAACACTTTAGATAATAATAAATAAAATAAAAAAAAAATCAAGCATTATTATAGTGGTCTCAAGCACTAATGATGTGGCTCCGTCCACTACCACATCACTAGTGGTGCTTTTAGAGCACCACTTTTAGTGGTCTCAAGCATTATTATATAATTTTTTATTATTTATTTTTTTATCATATTAATTTTTTAATTTTTATATAATTTTTTATAAAAAAATCAAATAATATACTTATTTAGATCATCACAAATACATTCTAAATAATTTTAAGAGAAGACTATGGTATATATCCTATCCCTCTAAGGGTGTGTACTGTATGTACTTTATAATTAAAAAATAAAATAATATAATTTCATACTTTTTGAATCATAACTAAAATAAATAAATAAATAAGTCATAACCAAACAAAATGTGAGATATAACTAAAAATCTTATGAGTCATGACTAAATAAAATTATAATTAAAAAATAAAATTAGTCATAATTATTTAAGAAAATGGCATAACTTAAAAATGTATATGGTAGAGGTGTGTATGGTAGCATTTCTCATAATTTGAACTGTTTTCTTTTTTGGCTCAAATGTAAAACTAAGAACTTGTTTGATCACGTTTATATATTTATATATATTTTTCAATTATAAAATCTTAAAAATTATAAATAAAATTTGTTTGATTTTTATTTTTATTTCTAAAAAATTGTAAATAATTTACAAAATTCTTATTTTCAACCACCCATCACTCATCAACACCATCGGCCACACCCATCTCCAACCACTATCACCAACGATTTTCACTGGCCATCACCTCTGACCACCATCTTCAGTGATCAACAATTACCTCCACTTACTAGCTCCCTCCCATGGCCGAAAAACATTTCTAGCCACTAGGTTAGCAATTATCTCTAACGATCAATAAACCACCTTTAGCCACTATCTTTTGTTATTGTTGGCACTTCGGCTGTTGTTGGCACTAACCTCTATCCAGCCCCTTCTCACTTGTTTCTAAAACAAATTTTTAAGGAAAAATATATGTATGTATTAAACGTATTGATTAATTTTTATTTATATCCAAAATAAACATATATTTAGGGGTTGTTTGGGGTGTCTTAAATAAGTATATTTTTTGTCTTTTTAGACTAAAAAGTTGAGAAAAAAATATGGATATTTAGGTTAATTTTTTGACTTTTTATGAAAAAATATGTATTAAAAAACTGTATAAATTAGTGTATAAGAGAAGATGGTGATGGAAGTGATGGAATAGCTGTACGGTGAGGGACAGTGGGTGCAGAGAGGGGGGAGGGGAGATGATTTCCTGCTTTTTAAGTAGTGAATTGAAGGTGTTGTTCGGCCTATAAGGGCTTATCACGGGTCCTGTTTTGCTAATCGAAATCGTTCGATGTGTAGAACTCATCGAGTAATATATGCTTTTAAAAAATCACGTTGATCGGATATCGATAGCTATCTGATTGGATTAATTTTTGTTCAACCATTAACTATAACACTATCTATTTTATAAATTTTAATTGATTTGATCATATAGTTACCGATATCCGATCAATGTGATGTTTGGCAGGTATGTAATACTCAACGAGATTTACACATTGAACGGTTTAGATTATTAAAACGGGACCTGTGATGGCCCCTACGGGCCGAACAACACCATGTTATGTGTACACATAAATAAGTGCAATTTTTCCCGCAACAATGCTCCGCCTACTCTACCATTATGATTGTTTGAAAAGAAAGATTGTGGCAAATTAATTTTTTAATATTTTTTTTGGGTGAATAGTGATAAGTTTTTAACTTTTTAAATAATTTTTTGACTTTTTGAATTTTTCTGGAGTATCCAAACCAGGCCTTAATATTTATTTATTTTTATTGTAAATGTTACCAAAAGATACTTAAGTGAAGAATTTTTATTTATTTATTTTAAAATTATGGTGATTATTCTTGACTTAAAAAAAATTAATTAATTAATTAATTGTTGCGGATGGTTGTTTTGTTGATGAAGGAAACTGTGGATCCCAAGGGATGAAAGATTTCATGAATGAGAGAAGGCTGATAGATCTTTTGAGTGGTTCTGATTATGTCCCAACCTATGAAGACATTGATGGTGATTGGATGCTCCTTGGCGATGTCCCTTGGGAGTAATTTCCTTACATATTTTCACTAATAAATCAAAACAATCTAATTAATGATATCAAAGCAATTCAACAAATATTTATCTAAATCAAAGAGTAAATACTATATTTAAACATGTATTTTGTTTTTAAAAAAAATTATCACTAAATATAAAGGTATTGGAGCCCACTCATATTTATTAATGTAGCTCCACTATCTGTCTATCTAATGATAATAAAATTTAGAGTAAATTATACTAGTAATTCCTATATTTTATTCCTTGTGTTATTTTGGTCCTACACTATTAATTGGCTTAATTTTGAATATTCATTTTAAATTTTATGTCAATTTGATCCAATTGATAATGTTGTTAGTGTTTTTTTAAAAAAATTGTCACTAAATTGGTAAAGATTAATTCACTGAGTTGAATACGTTTTTATAATTTTGTTTTTATAGATATGACACATGACATTCATATGCATATTTTCTACAAAAAATGTTAAGAGTTGAGATCAATTAGACCAAATTGAGACAAAGTTATAAATTCAGGTCAAAATCGAGCCAATGGAAATTGCAGGAACTAAAAAAACATAAAGACCAAAGTACAGGACTACTATTATCTTAAAAAAATGATAATAAAATCTGATAAAAATTCACCCATGTATATTATTTTCTCATATCATACACATTGTATATTAATTGCTTAATTTGTGATCTCAATCAGAATGTTTATGAATTCTTGCAAACGCCTGCGTATAATGAAAGGAACGGAGGCCAAAGGACTCGGTTAGTTCCATTGGATTAAAATTAGTAGTAGAAGTTAGCCTACATATTATAAGTTTATTTTGTGTATAGTTTTGTGAAAATTTATGTTATTAATGTGTATTAATAATTGGAATTTCAGCACCAAGGGCCATGGAAAAATGCAAGAACAAGCTGAAGTAGGTAGTAATCACCACCAGCCTTCTCCCTTGATCTTCTTGAATCCATCGCGACAAAAGAAAAGAAAAAAAAGGCGACAATGAGCAAATGAGATGATTGACTAGGGCGATTGAGCGTGTATTATGGTTTGTATTAATGCAAAATATATATATATATAATTTGTGTATTAATTTTGAAAAAACAGTAAGTTCTCTTGTGTTCCAAGACTTTGCATTTGTCTTGCTAATTGAATTTAGTAGTACTAATTGCTTGCTTAATAATAATTGTAATAATAATGTACTTCTTGTTGATTGATGGCTAATTATTATATGCCTTTGTTCTTTCAATTATTTATTTTTTATCTCCCTTTCTAGGATTCTTGTTTTATTTAGTGCAGATGAAAATTTTCTACTAAAGTAAGAAATGAATGAATATGTTTCATGAACTTGTACAAAGAGGGGGCAAGAACATGTGCATATGCCAACAGGGTACTTATTTATTTATTAATGCCCATCTGTTTGGTTGGTAGGTTGGTTTATTTTATAGACTTGTCCAAAATATTGCCATTGCCATGCATATTCACTCATCGTCCATGCTTTCTTCATATATATAAAATTACGAAAAGTTTGTTTTTTTATAGAATTTTTATATAAAATTTATGACTAGAACAATATGCCATTGTCATTTTTAAGAATTTAAGTCATTTTGATGGGCATTTTTCTTAAATTATAAATTTAAAAAAAAAATCAACACTTGTTATTCTTTATTTATTTTTTGTATAATTTTTCTGTAACAGATAACATTACTCATAAAGTTGTGTATGGTTGGATATCTCCCGTCCACAAGTGAACAGGATTCATTAGTTCAATTTGGATCGGTGGATCCACCAAGGGTCTCACTTTGGTATCTTAATATATTTAATTTCTAATTTCGTTTGTGTATATCAAAAAATAAATAAATTGATATGATAATCATAGTTACGTAATAAGTTCATCATATTTCTTGTTAAAAAATAAATAATCTCTTTTAAAAATCATACTTATCCTCTAATATTTTTTAAGACAAATATAAAGAATTTATATGATTGAATTAATATAGATTTTTCTCATAAATGATTTAGAGATAGATGTCTAAAAATTTAATAGAATAGATAATCGAAACAGAACTTATAGTAAATGAGCTGCTCAAACTTAAATATGTCCACAGACAATTCAATCTATTATATATTTATTTTATTATATAAAAGTCTACACTTCAATTAGCATACATGTTCAAGTTTTTTTTTTAATTTGAAATTAGAAATACATCGGATTTTGCACAAACAGCTAATATATATATATATATATGGTTTGTTATGTTTGCTGATGGACCATAACTGGCTGACATATTTTGATGGTCATTGTCATGCAACATTTTATAAACAATTATTATACTATTCCATTTTGAAGTTGCACTATCTATGCCACTTTTGCAATAAGAAAGAAATATAAACGGTTTCAAATTCTTGATCAATAACTTACAATATATACATTAATGCTGTGTTTGATTGGAGAATTTGGAGAGAGATTTGGAAAGAAAAATGGAAAAAATAGGTGAAATAAGAATAAAACATACCTACATTTTACCTAGTTTCACACACATTTTTCCTTTTCATTTCTAAATCCCTCTCCAAATCTCCTAACCAAATACAGCGTAAAACTACATAATGACAAAAGCAATCGTACTGTTTCCATTTGTATAACCAAAAATAAATAAATAAATTTACTACTTTTCATTATTAACTTTAGAAGAAACAAGATTCACTAACCCAGCAGTCGCTTCCTACTCTTCTTGTCCGAGTCACCTTAACTTAAACAAGTCAGTATCTGCATTTTTATTCAACTTGTTCATGGCTTCGCCATTAGACTGTCATTCATCATTTTGCTTCAAATGGTGAACACGATTGAACTGAACTTGTCAATTCCTTCTCTCTTCTAATTATAGATGGGATTCAACTTCAGAAATCAATTGACTTGATTAACAAATCCGCATTTTTCTTGGACTTGTCAATTAGCTCTGCATTAGGCCGGTCATTGTACTCTATCTGCATGATTAATTTGGTCATGTAAGTTTTAAAAAACCAAAAAACTTAGGGGTAGGCTAAGTTTGGGAAGTCCCAAATAAGCCAAAAAGTCAAAAAGTTACTCAAAAAGTTAAAAAGTTAACACTATTTACCAAAAGTCAACAATTACGGCTGCACAACTCCCAATTCAAATTTTCCTCTACAAACCAATTTTTACAATTTTTTATTACACATTTTTCCATAAAAAGTCAAAAAGTTAACCCAAACATCCATATTTTCAATCTCAATTTTTTAGTCCAAAAAGACAAAAAGTGCACTTATTTAGTCTTCCCAAACTTGACCTAAGTAATGTGGAACCAGTAATAGACAAGAATCAATAAACCATCAATGGAAGTTATAAGCAACATGACATCAAGCTTACCCGCCATTTAGCAACATCTGGAGGTTTTCCTACAATAGACAGAAATAAAATCAACACACACTAATTGTTTTCATCATGCATGTTAACAAGTGGTTGATTAACAATATACAAATGCATACCAGTCAATATATGTCTCTTTAAAACTCGTTGCATTGCTGTCTCAATATCAACCTCGATGAACCTTTGAAAGAAATCAGATTCCAAAAGACATTATCCCAAATAAGGCCCCAAAATTCTGAATTTAATGTTGCCACAAAATAAAAGGAAAAATTATTTTTCCCAGCTTATTTAGGAAGATAGTAATTTACTATAGGCTTATGTTACAAGGGGTGAACATGCCGTCAAACAAAATATAATTTGTTTATAAAGTGCAACTCCATAATTTGTTTATACAACTCCATACACCAGTCAAGTCACCATGTTGACATAAATGCCAGAGTCCAAGCATCTCAACAAAACATACACTAGGAGCATTACCAAAGTTTTCCAAAAAACAAAGGGAACAGGAAGTGGAGACATCTTTGTTAGGCCATTACTCTTTAGAAATGTATTCCTCATTTTTATAACCATTATCAAATACACTATGAAATTGCAGATGAAGCAGATTACATACGAAGCTACCATTGTCAAAATCATATATTTATAGCAATTAACGTTAGTTTGAAAACTGTTACACCAGTTCAGGTGATCCGCCCTATAAACATTTATTAAGCTCTTTTTGGAACTTAGGAACAGGTAGAGGAAAAACAAAAATTATCAATGGCTTCCTTTCCATAACATTGATGAGGATTTTCCAATACCCAAATAGAAATAGGGTTCCAAACAAAGAAAGTTTATCTTGCTCGTTTTTATTAGCTTTTTCCTACTTGGGTACATATAAGCCTCGCACGCCTTTAAAATGAAAAGTCATGAGCTAAATGTGTAGACAATCAAACATAAATAGACATCATAAATAATATCTAAGAGAAATGTATACTATCAAGATTGGTATCCCTATCGCTAAGGCTTCTGCAGGGAACCAATCTGTTCCATAAGTCGATCTCCTGCTAGGTTTTCCTGGGAGCAATGGTAGTTATTCAACACATTTTTTTAAAGGGGTACTTCCGTGTAGGTCCTAATAAGTGAACTTATTGTCTAATAGGTCCTATGGAAAAAATGTCATAAAAAAAAATCACTAATTGTAAGTTTTAGCGACAATTTATAAAAATTATGACAAAAAAAGTCGCTAATTGTCAATTTTTAGCAACATATATAAAAAAATTATCACAAAAAAATTTATTTTTAGCGACAATTTTACCAAGACTTATTTTCAATTAGACTTGATGGGAATTAAGTCTAACTATTAGGACCAATTGATAGTTTACCCTTTTTTTTTAAATTGTATTTTTAAAAGTAGTGATTCCACAAATCTTTCTAGCCTCAAATATTAAGTAAAGAAGTAAGAATAACATGGAAGAATCTATTGTTTACCACTTCTCATCAAAAACAGAAGATATCTCCTTCCACACCCCTTCTTCCAAGAGCAGATAATTACCTTCTACTACCACCACTTTGTGCCTGCAAAGAGGAGAACGGTGATGCATTATCAATGGTATAGAGATGGTTCAACTATTTGAAGTGCTACAATTATAATAACATAATCGTTCCCTCGAACATGGAATGAAACAAAATAAATGGACTAACAGGATATATATGCAAAAGAAACACTACAGTGCCCTTTGCTCGAGAATTTTAAAAAGCATTGAATGCTCAGGGTACTAATCTATGAAATCAATTTCCAAAATCATTATCTCAAACATTGCCAAAATAATAAAATATACAACAATAACTAGGACAACCAAAGGCCAGAAAAAATTTTGCATCGTCACAAAGCATGAATGAGAATTCCACTAAAATAATGGCCCCGTTTAGTGTAACTGTTAAAACAGCTTATAGATTATAACTTAACAGATTATAAATTATGATTTTAATCAGAAGTTGTTAATCTGTTTGGTGTAACTGTTAGATTATAGATTTAAGTTGCTGAGTAGTATTTGTTAAATAAGCTGTAAAATAGTTTTTTCAATTAATTTTTATTTTTTGTTTGTCTACATTTCTCATAAAAAATAATAATAATAATCTATAATCCATTTGGGTCTTTTTCTATTTAAAAATAAATAAAAAATAAAAAAAATCCAAGAGTATAACTATAAATTAACATGTTCACAACAGAAACTGATAATCAGAAGCAATGAGTCAGCAACTTCTCAGAATCAGCTTTTTTGAGTTAAAATAAGCTATTAGAATCAGAAGCTGTTTGAAACAAGTTTAACCAAACAATCCAAACTAACTTTTTCAAGGCTAAAAGCTATAAATTAGCTTTGAAAAGTTAAAACAAACACCCCCAATATTAGCAAAGATCACAATCATGCATATAGCATTTTCTTTTTCTTTTTTTCTTTTTTTTCTTTCTTTTTTTTTTCTTTTGGGACAAAAAACATATCACCATGTTTTTTTTCAGTTTTTTAAAAACACTTTCTAGAAAATTCTATTTTCGTGTTTTCCGTATTTTTTTTGTTTTTATTGAATTTTTTTAATATTTTAAGCAATTTTTTAAATTTTTAGACACATCTAGCATAAATACACTTAAAAAGTATAATTTTCGTGAAAAAAAAATCTTTAAAAAATTTACTAAATACCAAAAATACAAAAAAAAAAAAATACAAAAATTCAGTATATTTTTGTGTATTTATTAATTTTTTTAAATATTTTTTCACAAATATTTTACTTTTTAGATACATCTAAATAAAGTACATCTAAAAAAGTAAAAAAAAAATGCTTAAAATTTCAAAAATATTCACTAAAAACAAAAAAAATACGAAAAATAAAAAATTCAATTTTCAGAAAATCGAATTCAGATAACTAAAACCAAACACACTGATTGGTTTTTCAGTTCCTTCTAGCAACAATTTAACCTTTGAATATCATAATCTGACTGGAATTTTATTCAACTTCCATTATGGATGCTACCCGAGGATAAACCTGTTGCCAAAATGTTGGTACAAACTACAAAGTTCATCTCTTAATTGTACTTTAATAATTTCATCAACTTTAGTTCAATACACAAGCAGAAATCTCACCAACTATTTAAATTTCAAGGCCCTACTTTCAAGTACATAGTTGGAGAAAGAAAAAAGGAGGGAAGGGGAGATTTCATTAATCAGTCGCTTCATGCGCTTAAATATTATGTTTGTCTTCATGAAAATATTCCACTGCTTATATTCCAATAAATTGAATCCAAATTTTTAAAATTTCTAGTACCTTTTGTTTCACCGACAATTTTGCAAAAACAAACTATTTTCTTTATTATGCTTTTCCTCTTTCGAGAAAGTAGTGCATAATATACTCAGAAGAGCTGAACTTGTTCCCAAAATGCATGGCAATCATTTAAAAATGGATATAGGCGGGGACTTGAACAAAAGAAAAATAAAGGAAGAAAAAAGTAAAGAAAACAACATAAAATAAAATAAAAAAAGAAGTGGAAGAGGAAGAGGAAGATGAAAAATGGAAGAGTGACACTCATCATCGATCATCGGTGGTGTCAAAGTTCACGTTCCACAAGGATTAGAACATAAGAGTTATTATCAGGAGCCTTCTCACTTCTATACTAATTTCTATAGATCATGGAAAAAAAATATGCGTATCGGTAAGTTTTTTTCAAATTGTGCGAAAAATAAAAAAATTCACGGTTCCGGTTACCGCAACCGTTACACTACGGCCTTTACACCCCACAACTACAACCGCGTCACCGCCACCGTTACAGCGACCGCAACCGCTTTTCAGAACTTTGATTAGAACATAAGAGTTATTATCAGGAGCCTTCTCACTTCTATACTAATTTCTATAGATATTTTGGGAAGTAAATGAAAGGAAAAATCACAAAATTTATATTCATCACTTTATATTCTTGATGACCGCACCACATATATCAGGGATAAGCATTGTGATTCCTGTTGCACCACGTCTGTTCATAGAAGTCCATGCCCTTAATGTTCACAATGTAGAATACTTACAACAAGGTTTTATACTACCTAAACCAATTCTAAGTTCAAACTGGTATCAACAGAATTTTTTATTTTTTTTAAGTCATTGATTTTGAACATGGAAAAAGGAACTGTTAAGTATACTGAGATCTACATCTTTCCCCCTCGAATTTAGCAGATCAAAAGCATTCACACAAATTTTTTCACAGGTTATCCATTCCTAGAAAATCAAAAGATATGAACAAGATTGTATAACCAAAAGAAGAAAAAAATTGTATATCCAAATGAAGAAAAATACTTACTGAAGGTTCACAAAAATATCATCTTCAACTGGATCTCCAACACCATGGTCAAATGAAGGAGCGTAAACTGATCCCTGAAAGAGAAATAACCATCAGAACTCAATATGAGGAAAGAAAGCATACATGCTATTCTTGCCTACAAGAAATAAATTCCAAAGTACTATAGAAGAGAGCCGTAAAAAAATTTCCATAAGTCTATGAACTAAATCTACAATTTCAACATAAATAGCTACTCACCTGATTCTTCAAAGTCTTGAGACATTTTAGCAGTAGTTCAGGATCAAATGTCCATGAAGCTGGTTAACCAATGGAACAAGCAACGATTTCAAACACTAACAAGATCTAAAACAAAAAATTACCAGACAAAGGAAGCTCACCTCCCCTTCTCGCATGAGCTTCCTCTGGATCCTGAATATGCAAAAACAAAATTCCAACAATAAGAAGTGTCTATGAAATTTCAGTACCAAAAGCCTGCTTTTTCTTGTCTGCGTGTGTATCTTTTGTGTGCATTCACATGTATGCACATATACCCAATATAGTAAGACATATCATAGTGGCACAGTTCTTTACATTGCAAAAGAAGCATTATACAATTCTTACCGTCTTTGTCTACATCACAAGCATTAACTAAGTAATAGAGTAAACAAATCAATGAACCAGAGTAGAGTATCATTCTGAAATGGCATAGCTTTTCCTATCATAGTGATATTAACCAAAATATAATGCTTGCTCAAGCTGATATTGCTTTTGATGTTCTAAAGGAATTTGAACATCGGAATTCCTATGGCATTCACTATTTAATATATATATAAGATGTTATGAAAAAAACTAGATACATTTTACGAAAATCAAAGTTTTGACCTCCACTGAATCAGAATCTATTTTACAATGGAGTCACCTGGAAACCAACCATGAACAACAAAAAGTTATGATTTTAATATAGTTATATAAAATTTTAAAAATAAAAAAATAAAAAAAAGGATAACGAGTTTTGTTCAAACATGTTTCTCTATTGCCTGAAGTTCAGTCTCATCTTTTACTCTCTTTTTTTTCCAAATTTTGTTTAAAGTATTACTTTGGACCAAAGCTAGTGCCACACCCACCAGTAACAAAATTGCAGAAGAACAATGAACAGATAATAAAAATTAATCAAAGGAAGACAACCTCCATTGCATCCAACTGATGACGATAAAGGTGGAACCCATCCATTGGAAGGACTGTAGCCACTTCTGGGGGCTCAACTTGTGAATCAAAAGAACAAGATTTTTCATACCATAACTTGTTTACACGCCGAACTATTTCAAATGCAACAGTACTCTTTCCAGCACCAGGAGGACCAGCCAAACCCACAATATGCCTGCATGATACGACAGGATGATTATTTCATTAGAGAATAATTCACAAGATCTGATAATTGCTAAAATAAAAGAACAGAAAGGTTACTCTTTACAGTGATGCCAGTGAAAAACTTACACACATTTAGGGGTCGTTTGGTTTTTGAGTTGGGCTAAAAAATCACAAAAGGACAAAAAAAAAGCCAAAAAAGCCAAAAATCACAAAAGGACAAAAAAAATTTACCCAAAACAAAGCTAAAAAGCCAAACAAGAAAACCAAACAAACAAAAAAGGCCCAAGCTAAAAAAGTCAAAAAAATCAAAAAACCAACCAAAAAAGTCATTGCCAAACGACCACTTAGGTGTTATTGATTCTAAACTATTCATTTCTTGTGCAGTTTCTGGTCCCAGTAGTCCAAAGAGTACCATGCAGGTGGACAGATGGGGACCATGATTAGGAAAAGATAGGGAAATCTATCCGAAAATGTACAAGTTTACATGCAAGAAAAGTTACACTTGATGCATTCAAACACAGTCCTAAGAGTTTCATACAAATCTATATACTCAATAAACTGAGTATCTATCAGTTCCTCAAATCAAATTCTCTCTATGCATTCAAGTATAAGATAAGTAACTATTGAGGGTCACACAATATAACAGCCGTATAATATTTAAAGTCGACTTCGCAGAAATTCTTTTGAGTTCCTTGACATGAAGAAGGTTTCAAACGGGAAAGCAAACATTCGTGAAAAAAATCAATATATATAATTGCCATTTGCCAGTAAGATACTCAAAACAAAAACAGAAAGGGAAACTAAGGATCAGAGAAGCTAGATGACAATAAAGGGTTACAACAGGGGAGTAAGTTGTACAGATATTTCTAGCGCTCAAGGGAAGAAAAGTTGTTTAGTAAACATGGCCTTATAAAGAGCTAGATTCCAGGAAAGGAAAGAATGGTCGATCTCTAGGGTTGAGATAGATGCTGTTAAGTACTTCAGTATGTAAATGCCGAACAGAAACCTCAAGTCATAGAGAAATACCAGAAGATATTGTTTCCCTGATTCACGGAGCTACAACTTACTTGAAATTGGGATTTGATGCTGCTGCTGCTGTTGGAACAAGACGTTCAGCCAAAGCATTGTATATCTCATCCATACACCTTGAAAAGATAGAAACAAGAGCTATTATTAATAAATACAACATAGAATTAAATTAAATTAACAGACACAATGCATTCTAGATATAGTTACGAAAGTAAAGATGCATAAATCCTAGAAGTGGCCTCTACTCCAGCACAATTCCACCATTTTTATCAAATAATATGCAGAACAAAAAATTTACCTAAGAAGACATGACAACTTAGCAAATAAGCTGTTTCGAACACAAAAAGTATATCACTTAAATATCTGTAATAGGCCCTTGAGAGAAAAAATTAATGTTAAAAATATGACCCTCCAATTACTTGTCCCCTACACTGAAGCCAAAAGTTCATGTAAATACAACCGCAACTAGTTTTCAAATACTATTCATTGCAGTTATCTTTTTTATTGTAATCACAGATTATATGTGATACAAAATTTCTGCACCAATTAAATTCAATTTCATGTAATCTCATCTTGCAAAATGGCCTACCTGGCTTCTAACACAGGAACATCCTTCTTTTGGCTACGAACCACCGAAAAAGAATTCTGTGGGTTCAACACACAGAATGTGCTTACAAAGCATTTCAAAACATTATACATCAAAAATTATAAAAGAACAAGATATCCAATTTCAGTAATACAAAATTGAACCTGCAGACCCTTTTGAATTAGAGATCTAGTTCGACCCAATGCAGGTTGCTCAATGCTTTTAAATGGTGAAATGGAGACAGAAACCCGGTGCCAAATAGGAAGTTTTATCCTTCTGCGCAACAATGTCTCTGCAATTTAAAAACATGGATGATTTGAATACAGTAACCAGCCTTACCCAAAATATCTGCATGCATGATGTGTGCTAATAATATCTATTCAAATTTAAAGGTAGGCCAGAAACAAGGAACTAATAGAAACACATTGAGGAGCAGAAGGGCCATATGCAATCACTTGTGTTACTAAGCACATAATTCCTAATGATATATGCAAACACAGTCCCATTTGATAGCACTAATTGTGGGGAAGTGGTTTAGAAATACTCTTCCAATCCTGGGGGACGCTTGTGATCCTCAGGTAGCCACCTAAAAAAGAATTAACAATCCGGTCCGAAGTGCTGGAATTAGCACTCCGACGGGTAAGTCAGTCTCTGCTCTCTAAATTACTTGTATTTTAAATTAAGTGTAATAGTTCTCACGTACCTTTCTCTGACTGATGATCCCATATTTATAGTATTCTTTTTGGGCCTTAGGGCCAGGCCCATTCATGATCTTTACGCATACTTATACTTGGCCTTTGCTATACTGGCTGTAGTGCTGGTTACTTTATTCGGCTCTTTGATTGACTAAGATCAAACCCGAATAGAAGCTACGTTCCGGACCGGACGGGTCTACTCGTCCCTATTGATCCAATTAAATTCGGCTCCCACACTAATAAATCAAATTATTTGGCTTGTCTGCTTAAAAAAATTAACTAATTTGGTTGCAACCTTAAATTATAATTTATTTTACGCTTATTTGGCCAAAACAAATGAAATTTTCTTAAGCTACAAATTATCTGTAGTTCTTTTGTCTTAATTATAACCTTTTGAGCCCTTCCGCATATTTGCACAACAAAAATGTTATGTGACAGTTTATTTAACCAACCAAATTCAATTTTTTCACAAATTATCAAAAAATGCACCAAACAAATTTACAACTTATTTTAATTTTTTTAAGTTAATAATTTAAAAAACTATAAAACTAACTTATAAGTGATATCAAACAACAACACATAATGGCTAAAGAAAAGATTATTTAGCACACATAGTAGTCCATTATTTAAAAATAATTAAATTGGCTTTGCTAACACAAAATGGCTAAAGAAGGATGCAATTTTTTATTTATTTTTATTTTTTTGCAAAAGGTGAATAGAAAACAAACGAACCAAAAAAATAAACAAAGGGCAAATTATACCAGTAGCCTTTATATTTTGGCTCTTCATCATTTTGGTCATGGTAGTTTCAATTGGTTTAATTTTGACCTGAATTTATGACTTTCTCTCAATTGGGTCCAATTCATTACCGCTGTTAACATTTTTAACAAAAATATGCTCATGAGCGGCATGTGTCATAATTTAGGAGAAAATTAACTCCTGTTTTCTGTCAAACACTCTTAACAATTTTATCAATCGGACTAAATTGACACAAAATTTAAAATCAATGGTCAAAATTGAGCCAGTTGAAAGCGTAGATATCAAAATGACACACAGGCACAACAATGTAGAAACTACCAATGTAATTTACCCCCCCAAAAAAAAAATACTATGCTGCATCAATATACTAACCTGTATACACTGTACAGCCAAGAAAATATCGTAACGAACTAAAGAAATTGTATGATGAAATTGATAAGGAATTAGGGTTTCTGAGGGAAAGAACATACAAAATAAAGAAAGAAAACATTCGGAATTTGAAGAATGTTAGTTCGTGGCGTGAAAACGAACAGAACTGTAAACAAAATCATCAATTGATTTCTCTTTCAATAGAGATTCGAGTAGGCATTGTGACCCCTAAAATCATCATCATCATAATAAAAGTTCAAAATCCTTCTATGAAGCTCACATCAGTCAGTCCGTTGGGTATCTACATATAGAGACACACGTATTATGAATAATAAAAAGTTACAGTATATATATCATCATCAATAAGGAGACCTGGTGAAGAAGAAGAAGAAGAAGCCCAGAATCCTCTTGAGCTTGTGGAAAACGAAGAAACCTCCATTGTTGAACCGCACAGAGAGTTCCGATTCTCAACGGACCGACGATTCTGCTACTGGTTAAGTGGTAAGCCAATTCGTTCAAACAAAAAAGTGGTAAGCCTAGTTAGACCATCTCCATCAGTTGACCAATCAAATTTAATTAAATTTAAAATTTGGTAAAAAATATATTTTTTTGAAACTCTAACGGTTTCACCAAATTGATATCAAAATGAGAATTGAACAAAAAAATCATCAAATTAAAAACAGAATACAGGTTTTACCAAATTACTGTGCATGACCGTTGGAGGAGACCAATCGGTCGACCGGTCCCCTTTTAAATTGGTAGGTTCAAACCGGTCAAAAAAAAATTCAAACAAATAAAAAAAATAAAAAATAAAAAATAAATATTGCCCTTACCGGTCGACCACCTCCCTCAATTCTGCTTTGATGCTCACCGTTGGAAGAAGAAGTATCAAATTGAGAAAACAACCTATTTTTTTCTCAAATTTGATGAAAAAAGAAGTGAACGGTTAGAGATGCTCTTAGACCATATAATGTTAGGTTAGGATATCAAATCTTTTACTCAATAAATAATTAAATATCTTATATAAGGGTTGGTTTTATAATTTTGTGGATTTTATGTGGACTGAGATATTTAATTATTTATTTAGTAGAAAATTTAAAATTTATAGTGCTTTTTATTTGACCATCTCCAGTCTTTCCTTTTATGATTTTTATTGGTAGCTCGATTGTGAGTTTGTTTGAATTATCTGAATTTTATGTTGTTGACAATTTGGCTTAGTGATTCGGCAAAAAGGTGAGAGCAGTCAATAAAGATAATAATTACGATAAATAAGTGTTATACCAATCGTTCAAGTGATTATCTAGACGATCAATCTCGAGTTTCGTACACACTCAAATTTCAGCTACTACCACAAATTTTACTTTCCATTAAATTAGATGAAAATAATCATCTCTAATATTTTATTTTTAAAATTTTATTAAATTTAAATTTAATAAGAAAGTGCTAAATTAAATTTAAATTTAATAAAATAAATATTAAGAATTAAAGATTTAGGCGAAGTTTTTACATCACTTCCAATCCTTACTCTCATTTTCTCATTAAATTTGAGTGAGAAAGTTGATTAAAAGGTTTATCTATAATGAAGACTTCCATCCTAATTCTCTCTTTCTTTCTTTTTTTCAATCATTTTAAAACCTAAAAACCTATTTTAATCATTTTTTTTTTTGGTTGGGGGGAATCATCTCCAACTATTTTTTTTATATATATATTTCATTAAATTTGAATAAAAATATAATTGGTAAAAATTTAATGAAGAATTTGATTCAATCATAATTTGGTGAAAATTTTACTTATGCTTTAATTTAATACAAGTTTAATGACATGATTAGATTAGCTCTTTATTTATAAGGGCCACTAAAATGTCCTTATCTTTTTTATTTTGGGTTCCTCATTTCTTTGGCCCCTCACTAGGACTGTAAATGAGCCGAGCCGAACCGAGCCGAGCCGAATCAAGCCGAGTTTTAGTATGTTTAGACTTGTTTATTAAGATTTTAACGAGCTCGAAAATAAAAATTTAACGAATCATGCTTGAGCCGAGTTGGCTTAAGCTTGACTCGAGTTCGAGTCTGTTCACGAACCTTAATGAGCTAAAAAATTTATAAATTTATACTTGGTATGAGACTAAAGTTATAATTAAAATTTTGGTTATACAATTATATAGATACATACTAAAAAAAATCAATATTTTACCAAAATAACAACGCCTACTACCACTATTATATAAATGTACTATCTATAGCTAACTATTATTTCATTTATATTTTTTAAATATATAAATAACATATTTATCTTATCTTTTATACATATTATTACATTATTTAATATATAAATAATAAATGTTAAACGAGCTAACTAATGAGCTGAGCTTAATACGTTTAGACTTATTTATTAAAAATTTAACCAGCTCGAGCTCGAGCTCAAACGCGAAAAAATTTAATGAACTAAATTCAAACGAACTTTTACCTAGCCGAATTTGAGCCTGTTCACGAACAGTTCTATTCATTTGTAGCCCTACCCCCACCATAAAATTGCTTCCCTCTTTATTTTTCTTTGGACCCCTACCATAATCCCAAATATACCATTTGAACCCCACCCCTACACCTTCCAATTGCAACTCCTTATTCCCTCATCCGACAGTCCCCTTTCTACTCTAGTGACCTCTTCTTCTGACCACCCTCCCCCAAGGCCCCTTCCTCATTAATGACCCCTTACTCTTCCTTCCAAACTCCACTCGCACACTTCTGGGACATCTCTCACATTTAGACAGGTACCCTAACCTCTTTTTTTGCCTTCGTAACCACTCTCGCCGCCGTTCACCAGTTCCAAATAAAAACCTGATGTTTGATAGTATGCAGCCGAACAAAAGGCATATGTTCGGTTGTGGAGCACCGAATATATTCAACAACTTCGCTTCTATGTAACCGAATACAGAGAAATTGACCAAACAGTGAGGTAGAGAGAGAAATCGACGAGGAGATAGAAAGAGAGAGTTGCGCATGAAAAACAGTCCTACCCTAAAAACACAGCCCACCGACCCTTTAATTTCATTTTCTTTCTTTTTCTTCTTCCTCCATTTCCTTTCTTTTGCATAGCATTGCCTTCTCAAATCCATCATACCCAAAGCACTCTTTTCATTCTACTCTTACAACATTGTTCTTCTTTTCTATCACCCATTTTCTTTTTCTTTTTCTTTTTTTGTAAATTTGTCTTTGTCTTTTGCTCTCAGCAAACCCTCACTTCTCTCTCTCGATTTAGATTATTCTCCATAAATATTTGATTTTGGATCTGGGTTAATGAAGATCGCAATGTTCCAAAGGTTGTCGACGGGAGGGGAAGTGGTGATGGGTTAGTCGTCGGAGAGTTGGTTGGTCGCTGGAGGGTGTCAGCAGCAGTGAAAGTGGTGATAGGGTTAAGGTTAGAGTTAGACTTGGGAGGATAGGGATGGGGACAAAATTGAAATTTGATATTAAGAACTTGTAATAAAATAAAATAAAAAAACAAAGGGTCCAAAGTATAAAAGTAAGGGCATTTAGCCACCCTCTTACTTATAGAATTTGAATTTGATGAAAAAATTATTGAGGGATTGAAGATGCTCTCAAACCATATATGTCTTGTTTTGTTCTTTTACATAAATTTAAGTAAAGGGAAAAGTTTTATTTAATATAAACACTCAAATATAAATTTGAGTATATAAATTTAGGGAAATTTCATATCAATGTAGAACTTGAAGAATAATTACAAATTAATGGTAAATTTTATCAACATTAATAAATAAAATTTTAAACTATTTTATACATATGTAATAATTTTATCAACTTTCTACTTAGAAGCAATTTCCTCTATAAATTGAAGTAAAAGTCGATAGAGAAATGAAATTTAAAAGTCACAAAATAATTTTTGAGTTTATAAATTTAAGTAAATTTTACTTAAATCCAAGTAAAAGTTGGTAGAGTAATGATGATGTAATTTTTGATGGTAGGACAGGTTGGACTGATCCACGCTCTTCAAGTCTAATGTCCGAATGACTAAGCCCACCAGAGAACCTGCACAAGAGTTCAACGGGGAACGGGGAGTCCCCCGGCGAACCCTCTGACAAGCAAGTTAGAGAGAGAGAGTGGAATATGTAGATAGATTAGAGATAGAAAAGCTTAACCTTCTTCTTGTCTTCAACGTTTGCTTATATCCTTTGGTAATCATTTCGTTGTCCCTTCCGACCTGTCACCTTGGCCAAAAGTCTATATTGTAGCTTACCTTGTTCAGGGCGAGGGCGTGCGGTCCCGACGGAGAGGTGTTGTCGTAATAAATGCAGTGAGGGGCTGCATTAATGGCGATGTGCAGTGGCAATAACTTTGCAGATCTTTGTCTGCTGATGTGGCTTGCCCTTTACCTGCCACGTGTCTGAATATTATTGGTCCTTCATGCCATGTTGACTTCTAGATGGTACTGGGCCTTATCAGTTGGGTTATGTATTGGGCCCTAAGTGGTAGGCTTGGGTTGTTCATAGTGGGTTATGGCCTTTATGGGCCTACCCACGTCAGTAGTCTCCCATTTCCAAGTGCAGCTTTAGTCCAATGAAGGAAATAATGAGGAAGATGGGGGTTGAAGGTCGAGGGAAAGGAACGACCGACTAGAAGTGGCCGAGTAGAGGGACCGACCGTGAAGAGGGCCGACCGCGAAGGGTAGCCGAGTGGTGGGACCGATCATAAGGAGGGCCGACCGCGAAGGGTGACCGAGTGGAGGGACCGATCATGAGGAGGGCCGACCGCGAAGGGTAGCCGAGTGAAGGGACCGATCATGAGGAGGGCCAACCGCGAAGGGTGACCGAGTAGAGGGACTGATCATGAGGAGGGATCGAGAGGAGTGACCGACCATGAGGAGAGCCGACCACAAAGGGTGGCCGAGCAGAGGGACTGACCATGAGGAGGGCCGACCGCGAAGGGGGGGTGGTGGTGCGTGGGGCTTGAGGGAAGGCGGGGAACATGGTGATTTGAAGTGGAAAAGACAGGGTAGGTGGGGGGGCAGTGAATCGTGGTCGTACACGTAGCAGCATCTCGTGG